GTATTGTATAGCCGGTTTATGTTTATCTTGTATACGCTCGAACAATTTTTGTTTATCAATTGAAGCTCCTGCCAAGTCGTCATTACTGGTGACATCTGAATGTCTTGCTCCCGCATCTCTTCTTGTAGATGTTTGTTGCTCAGACGATGATATATGTTGATTATTATCTTGATCAAGGAAAGATCTTGTCGATGATATAGACACTTTCTTGTCTTTATTATCTTTAAAATACATAAGAATACCTTTTCGATATAAGATGTGGGATTGAAAAGAGATCGTTTATAATTTGAGTAAAAACGACAATCAAACTAGCTGACTACACGTGTATGTTGATAAAATGAACGTTTAGTTTAGAGTATAAATGAGATGCAATGGACTCACCTTTATTTAATTTATTACTTTTTATTAATTCTTCTTCTTCCTCCACACAACTTTTGGTTGAATAACTATCAAAATAATAAACTATTTTCTTTTCACCTTCACTAACTGATAGCCACTTATTCACATAAAAACAGTAAATTTTTCCAGTTTTTCGATCTAAAATTTCGATTGATTTACAAAACCATGACTGATCTTTTCCATTTATTTTTATTTCAATAGATTCGATAGTGGACAGATGGTTTGCACTTGATGTGTTGACTTTGAAGATATCGATATGATCGTGTTCAGATTTATTCTTGTGATTTTGAGATCGTTTTAGATGGATGTTATCAGATGACTGTCCATTGATATCGTGTAATTGAATGTAAATATCTCCATCTATTTCTGTCTCAGACATAAAACTTTTATCGCCTGTTTTCGTGCGTATTTCAAACCGATCAGTAAATTCTGCACGAATTATATCCCCAGTTCGTACCGATTTTTCGCGATTTCTTTGGCTAAAAGCGAAAAAAAGATAAAAAATATCTTGGACATTCATTTAGACTGCTTGTCGCAACGAACATGTTCTTACTTTTCTTTTTCAATATTTTTCATGTCTAAATCTTTACATGGTACTGAATAATAATCATTCGACTCTCGTCTTGTTTTTCCATTCGCTTCTTTAACATCTAACCAAGCATTGATTGGGAAACAATAAACTTTATTATCTCGATCTAAATCGATCATTTCAATCCAATCAATGTATAGTCCATCGTTGTCATCGGAAGAATCATGATAGACAATCAATTTGACTAGATTATCTAATTTTGTCACACTGCTCACATGGAACGTGTCAATATTATTCTTTTCAAAGGGCCAATAATGTTTTCTACTATCAGTTGATAATGCACTAGATTTCAAGTGAATATCTTCAGATGATTGAGTACCGTCAAATAATTTTATATAAACATTTAAATCTTTATCTTGACCTTTACGCTTATTATCATGTTTACCCGTTTTGACACGAACCTTATAATGACGAATAAAATTTGCTGAATAATCTGTTGACGTCCTAGCATCAGACGTAGGAATTTGCGATGCTGTGAAAAGTTTTTGATTATGAGGTTTCAGCTCGACTTCTTTCATTACTCCATCACAGGGTTTGTCATAGTAGGTTTGTAGTTGAACCAATGTACTGTTTTCATCTTTATTCAGCCAACGATGACAAGGAAAACAATATAGACGATCTAAATGAGAATAACGTTGAAATTTAATAATTATATTTCTATAATATAAATATAAATTCGTAAAACAAGTTTAAAAATCTAGTTTTTAAGTGTATTTTGAAAGGATCTTCGGGAAATCCGTTTGCCATTCAAAAGCTTGAAACAGAAAAATGTTGGTTTTTTGCATGGATAGATAGTTTTAGATATAATTTAAAAACCGGAGTCATTCGACATCTTCGTGCGTCGTGGTGATTCATGTCAGGCATCAGATTTCCGAAACTCACAAGACTCTGTATTTTTGAAGTGCAGAACCTCAGAGATGAACGGAGTATAGATTGCCAGACATGTTAAACGTACAAAGCGGTTGGAACAGAGTATAATTTGAAGTTTTTAGTTCATTTGGATTGTACTACAATCTTTTTCTTATCTAGAATCATCCTCATAAATTTAACTTTCGAATCTTCTTTGTTACCTTTTCTTCCAAGCGGTAGTGTAGAGTTAGTAACGTACCGAAAAATATTACAAAGTTCGCTTATTTACCTGTTTTCTTATCGGTAATTTGAACGTAATCACAGAACCATTTTTTGTCATCATCAATCCATAAATCGACTTTATGCAAATCACCAATTTCTTTTTCTGTTCCAACTTCAAAATAATCTTCGTATCCTTCTTGAAATGGATGTTTATTTTCGAGAGAATTTTTTAAAAAGATTGGTTCACTTTCTGTTCTAGTATCATACACTCTCAAATAAACAATAGCATCTTTTGTTGTATCATCAGATGTGTGAAAGAAACTATGTGCACCCGTTTTTGTCTTAATATGATACTTTGTGGCATAGACCGGTGAATCTTGATTTTGATAAGTCGAATGTATCGATGTCTGTTGTTGTTGATTCTTATCAAATATGTGTGTCGGAAGTGAATGACTGGGAATCTGTGTTTGATTATCGGTTCCCGATGATGCTGTGACATATTTTGATTTTTCATTATAGTTTGATAATAATGTGGGTTTCGAACTCCGACCAGAAGAACATGCAGTATCTAAAGTGAAACGATAGAACAATTTACACTTTTATTGACACGTGCTATGTCAACTATGACACAAATTTCACCTGAATAGTGTATCAATTCAATTGGATTTTGTTCTGTACCCACTTTATAATCTAATTTTTTTTGTACACGATAGCAATAATATCTACCATGTCTAAAATCATACATTTCTAACCAATCACAAAACCACATGTATTCTTTATCGCGTGAATCATGCCATAATTCTAATTTTTTAATGTTTCCTAAACATTTTTGACTTCCAATATTATCGTATATATTAATGTATCCACTATGAAATGATTTCCCATGCTTATCATCACGTCGTGGATATTTCAGTAAAATATTTTCTGATTTTTGATCATTTTCATCAGTAATACGGAGATACACGTAGGGTGGTGTCTTATCACCTAACAGACCCAATATACCTTTGCAGAATATATGGAGATGTACGTTAATAACGCAAAATTTAGATTTTAATCTTTGCAATATCAGTTACCTTTACTGCCTTTTTTAATTTTGACCTGAAAATGACTTTCATATAATGATAGATTGTTTGATTCTAATGACTGTTTAACCGATTTTCTCAGCAGAGGCGAATCTTCACATGGTCTTGATGAAGGATTTGTCAATTCAATTCGTATTCCACCATCTTTATTATTCAAATTCAACCATCGGTTGATCAGGTAGCAATAAAATTGACTCGTTTCTTCATTGACAATTTCCAGCCATTCAATATACCAGCCATTATTTTTTCTTCCTGTATAAAATAGTTCAGCTTTAACAATATTATTCATCTTATATTCAGTACTAACATAAAAAATATCCTAAAAACGAAAAAGCATTGAATAATATGAAAGCAATTGCATTTAATCGTTAAAATAGAAATCTATGAAAAAAACGTCGACAGATCCAACAGAGAAAGTAATTATAAAACAAAAGTAAAACTTATTATTTGTGCTTCTTTAAAAGGATGTTCGTTTCCCATGGATTTTTTTAAATGTACGTCTTCGGTTGCTTCTTTGTCGTCGAATATTTTCAAATACACCTGTATATCTTTTCCTCCTGTTCGAAATAGATCTTTCGCTTTACCAGTTTTGACACGAACACGATATTTTGTTCGATAATTTTCATGTGGACTCGTAGCAGGTTTGGAAACAGTATGAATATGCTCAGGCAATAAAATATCGTTCACTACTTTCTAAAAACGAAAAAACAAGCAATATGTAAGTAGTTTTTTTCTACTCATTTCTGCCGTTTTTACATTTATTTTCATGTCATTCTCGACTTCGCATGATTTTGTATAATAATGTGTACATTCCCTTCTGTTTGTTAGTGAATTCTTTCTTGATAACAACGGAGTATTTAATGGAAAACAATTAATATCTCTAGTTCGATTATTCTTAACTTCGATCCAATCGAAATTAATTGATTTGTGAAAATCATGCCATATGGATAATTTTTTAATTTGATGCATTAAAAATTCACTTGACACATGAAATTTGTCAATATTTCCTTTCTCAAATGGTTTTTTATGTAGTTCAGAATATTTTAACGGAATATCTTCTGTTGACTTTTCATTATCAAACAGTTTCACATACACTATTCCATCATCGGTTAAATGATCACTGTTTGGATTAGTTTTTGTTTGAATGGTGTAAGCGGTTAATGTTTTATTTTTGCTATCATAGATTTGTAGTACATCATTCGATTTCAATTGTTTACAATCGATATTTTTATCATAGACTAATTCGATACGTGTAAGACCATTAGCGTCATCACCATCAAGCCAGTGATCACAGGGAAAACAGTATGTTTTATTAGTTTGGCGATCAACAATTTCAACATAATCACAATACCATCCACTAAATTGTAAAAATTGATGAACCATGTAAGTCATAAACTAGTCAAGTTCTTCTATGAGAAAGGTCCTCATGACATCTACATTGCATTTTGCTTAAACGTCAGTTGACAATTTGAAGTTTAAGCAGAATCGCAAAGCAAAAAGTGCTGGAAGAACTAGTCGCTGGGAGGCGGTAGTCTGAAGAGCATGTTGCATGAAGACCATCGGAAAGATAGAAAAAAAATTGAGTAGAATACATGCATTTTAGAAGTAAATAGTAACGCTGTTACCCACATTGTTTTAAAATTTTTATTGACTGAGAAAAAGCAAATATTCTCTGCTGTACTGATAATTCTGGTCTACTAGAAAAACCCAAAGTTTTAGTATTGTAAAATAAGAATAAAATTACTTGGAATTTCAAATTGATCTTTTTTTTACAGATATACTAGACACGCCGAGGAATAGTTTGTTGAAAAGCTCATGCCGAAATATTGCTTCCTTAAAAAGTTATGGTTTATTTACTCGAAAGCTACATGCTGTATGGATAATTTTAGGCGCATGTGTATCTAGATAACTCTATAAAAGCCCTTCCTATTTCCAAAAAGTGTTGCGTAAGCAGGTAAATTAGCACATGCCTTGGAAAAAGTATTTGTAACTTCTCTTTTCACTCTCTTTGCCGAGTAAAACCTTCTTGAATCTACCACTAACAGGTTTACTACTATAGGATTCAAAATATAAGATACTATGCGCCTCTTTGAATAACTCGGTAATGCAGAGAGATATTCGGAAACGGTTTTCGTCAGTTTGTAGCCAAGTCCGAGGGACATCGAACTATAGAAGAAGTTTTCGACTGAGTTTTTAGGGGGTTTTAGGTGGATCTTTAGAAAACCACAATGACTTTCAAGGATTCAATATTGGATTTTCAATTTTTCTTCTATTTCTTCAAAATTTTTTTCTTCTATAGTTCAATGTCCCCTGGACTTGGCTACAAACTGACGAAAACCGTTTCGGAATATCTCTCTGCATTACCGAATTATTCAAAGAGGCGCATAGTATCTTATATTTTGAATCCTATAGTAGTTTAACTCAGTTGGATCAGTGGTTGGCACTATATTAAATTGGTTTATACTAAAAATTATCTACCTGTTTTTTTCAGCATCATGCAGAATTTCAATTCTCTTTAAATCAGACAAATCTTTCATTGTACCCACATGAAATTGATCCAACTGATTTCTTTCAAACAAATCTTTTTTCTTCATCTTGCTTTTTTCATGCGATAAATGAAATTCTTCACTTTCTTGATCTTTCTCATCGTAAAAACGGATTTTGACATTAGCATCTGTTCCCGACAGAAATTTATTACCTATGAAAAAATTCAAAAAATTTCAACTGTATTGTATCTGTAATCTAATGGACATCGCCATATTTCTAGATGAAATAGATTGACAAACTGTTATGATGATATGATATTAAAAACGTTTTATTCTTCTTTTCTATTTTTATTCCTTAGGAGCCATTGCACGTAAGCCACGACCTATTACAGCGGAGTGGCCTTCAATCGATGTTCTCGAAACTTTTCCAAAGCAGGAGGCTTTTGTAGACCAAACATTTTAAAGAATTTTGGTAAAAGGCGCAAATCAAAAAGTTGTATCGTTGTTGAGATATTGATATTTTACGAAAAGCCCTGAAAAACGTAGATTCCGCCATCTTGAAAATTTGCCAAATTTAAACTCTTCTAACGCAGTAACAACAGATTACTTAACCTTGGCGATTTTACTATAAG